TACATCAAAGACGAAGCTGGAGCTATGGGGCCACAGGTAAGTCTCCCTGGCCTCCGCCAACCATCTCTCTCTCTCCAATTCTACTCTAGCTCTCCTAATAGCGCCCAGTGCTAAAGACTACTGCTAACGCTACTACTACTACTGCAGCGCTCCAGAGTGCTGCTGCCGAATCCTGAAGACTGCCTCCTGCCTCCTGCACGTGAAGTGCCTGGGAAGTTCCTAGGAACTACCTCGTGACTGTCTCCTGACTGCCTGCAGTCTGCAGGGCGGGCCAGTCTTATATAGTGCTGGCCCGTCCAGGAGGCTGCTCTTGCCAATGCCAAAACGTGCCAGACCCTGGTGTTGAAGTTCAAACAACGGTTGTCTTGAAAACAGGCCAAAAATGGCCTGTGCTAAAAACCCTGGTCTGGTGCCTAAGTTCAGGGCTGGTCGACTTTATGAGGGCCTGAAAATGGCCCTCGTTTTCAGGCTTTTAGGCTGAAACGACACAGGGCCTGTAGGTCCTCGTTTCCAGGCTTTCAGACTGAAACGGCATAGGGCCTGTAGGCCCTTGTTTTCAGGCTTTCAGTCTGAAAACGACACAGGGCCTGTAGGCCCTTGTTTTCAGGCTTTCAGGCTGAAAACGACACAGGGCCTGTAGGGCCCTTACTTTCCTTGTTTGGTCGGGCCTTGCAGGCCCGTGTGGATGCGCAGTATGCCACACCGGCCCCTCCTTGAAAGACCGAGTGTATCTGCGAGGGCGAAGCTGCTTGTCGGAGGGAGGGACCAAAGTCCGGGTGGGAGGGGCAGGTTTGTGAAGCTTCCTTAACTGGTCTTCGTCGCTCGTAGTCGACGTAGATCAGCGGTGCAGATGCTTGCAAATCTGCGAACTTGGTGTCCAAAATGTCGAAGGATACGGCCTCGCTTACATGCGGGGCGAAGTACACGGGGATGGGGTCAATGCACCGGTCGATTGACTTGTGCGTGTGACTGTCAGCCAACGTGACTTGCGTGGGCTGCGACTTCCTCCGAACGCGTGGCCCCAATCCATTGCGTACCAGAAAATTGTGGCCCATATAGTTGCGAGTGCTTCCGCAATCGATCAAAGCGCTGCAGGTCGCCTTTCCGATCTGAATGCGTATGTACAACAATGGCGCGTCTATGTCGTCGTATCGTTGTGTCTTGAACTCGCAGTCGATCTTCGCAACGTAGTCGTGAACGTCGACAACCTCTACTTCGGTGTCCATGAATGGAGCTGGTACTGCAGTGTGCAAGTAATCCCGCAATTGTGCCTTGAGCACGTTGCAATGCGGTTTCGGCAATCGACCGGTCGGGGGAACGGGCATCCATTGGAAGTCCGCGAACGTCAACGGGTCGAGCTCTTCAAGTCTTGACCATGACGTCGAATCCCCGGTGATAGATGGCGGCGAAGCTGCCGAATCGGTTGCCGATGGTGGTGAAACTGTGCATGCGGTGGATTGTTGCACGTGGAGTGGTAGGTCCAACGGTGGGACCAAGTGGACAGCATAATCCATGTAAGATTACTGAGGACTTGCGACATGCGCCTCCTCCCCAGATGTGTAGGAGGCCGCTAGCAAGGCGGCTGAATCTGGCGTAGTGCGAGGTGGAGTCGCCTCACCTCCCGTGCAGCTCAGTTTCCCGAGCTGTGGTACTGGCTGTCCATTTCCGGTCGGCGATGCGGTTTTCGCCTTCCCTTTTCCCCGGGAATTGTTGTTGCTTCGCGGCTGGATGGCGGCCACATTTTTTCCTCATGTGATGCTGAGGTGGCTGCCGGGTCTTCCATAATGTTGTCCGGTTGGACTGCAGTGACATGCTGCGGACGCGGACCAAATTTTCCCTTCTCCACATGGGCTGGCTGCCACACTGTCTTCTTGTGTGCAGCAGCCCGGTTGGTCTTGATCATCCCTCGAATGGTCCGAAATGCCAGCACTTGAGCTTTTCGATGCTAGCGGCTTCGTGCCGCTGTAGCAGATCCTGGGCCTCCTTGTGGCGGACCTGGGCATCTGCGGCAACTTCGGCCTGAAGTCGCTGCTTTTCAGCTACTGTCGCCGCTTCAGCCTGTAGGCAGGCAGCCTCGGCTGCCGCCTGACGCTGTTCCTCAGCCTCGATCAGTGTGAGCTGAGCTTGGAACCGCTGTCGGTACTCGGCAATGGACTCATTGGCCAGTTGGCCTGGCATGCCCAGAACTGAGACCGTCATGGTGGCGGGGGCACTGCTTACGTGGCACTGTCGCTGATGTGGTACTGCTGATGTGGCACTGTTGCTGACGTGGCACTGTACCAAACCGGGAATGCAGGCAAAGGGGTGGGTGGGAGGGAAAACGCACGTAGGTAACCAACCAATCTATACTTTCCTCCCGGTCCTAATCAACAGACAAAAAAAAAAAAAAAAAAAGAAGAGACTCATCTCCCTTTTCCTTTTTTTTCCATTTTTGTTTTGAAAATCTGTCGATTTGATGCATGGTAACCGCGGACCCGGACACCGGACACTTCCGGACTGTCTTCCGGACCAGTGTCCGGACCGGTCCGGACTGTCCGGTGATCCGGACATCACCGGACACCGGACATCACTGGACAGTCCGGACCGGTCCCCGGGGTGCAAAAATGTACGGACCCAAAAAAAATAAAAAAAAATGGGGGTGGGGGGGAGGTTGGGTGGGGGTGTTGGCAGGCACTTACCTGCTTTGCACTCTGTAGTTCAGGCAGCAGAGCACGTGTCTTCCAGGAAATCAACCAGCACATTTAACCAGCAGACATGCAGAGTTGCAAACAGTGCAAAGTAGGCACAAGACTAAAGAAACAGAGAATTAAAAAAAAAAAAAAAGTATGATTAACTTTGAACTTTGAACTCTGGATTTAGTAATTTAAGTTCATAACTTCATATATAACTTAAAAGTTCAAGCTTTGCAGTTCAATTCAGAACCTCAGAGTCTTCAGACTGGCAGCACTGTCAGTGCTCTCTCTCTCTCTCTCTCTCTCTCTCTCTCTCTCTCTCTCTCTCTCTCTCTCTCTCCGCTTTTTAGTGTGTGTGAGAGGTAGCTCTGTCTCTCTCTCTCTCTCTCTCTCTCTCTCTCTCTCTCTCTCTCTCTCTCTCTCTCTCCCCAACGGGCAGSAGCGGCGGGCGCCACGTCGAAAMGGCCGCTTTGAAATTGCTCGGGCCTGTGCGAAACCCGCCACCTCAAAAACCTGCAGTGTCTTGTGTCTGGACCTCTAGGCCATGTCCGGTGGGGTGAAAAGACACTTAAAAATCACCCCGTTATTTTTCGAGGGGCGGCTAGGACCCGACAAACGGCCTGGTCCGCCCCATTTTTTTTTTTTTTTTGGCCCAGGGGCCTCCATCCAGACATGGGGACCGGACACCGGACACCGGACTGTCTGGAACCCAGTCCGGACGTCCGGGCGGTTACCATGATTTGATGTCAGTGACTCAGTGAGGCATTTACGGAGGAGTACTATGAGCGAGATCTAGGCAAGGTTCCGCAAAGTTTAGGCTTTCAAAAAAATGCGATCTTGAATTTTTTTTTTTGCGTTCAATAGACTGGAGGTTTCACTGTTGGAGAAGAATAATTCCAGTCTCCGAGAATATGACAACCTCTATCGTTATCCTAATATGCCTAGGAAACGAAATGCTAACATCAGAAATTTTCGGTTATGTATGCAAATATCAGAAATTTTCGGATGCTAATTTCAGAGAAACGAAATGCGACTATCAGAAATTTTCAGATATTTGTTGCGTGATAACGAAATGCTAATATCATAAATTTTCAGAAAAAAACGAAATGCTATTATCAGAAATTTTCAGATATTTGTTGCGAGAAATAATTTTTTGTATGCAGAGATTTGACGAAGTCCTACTTGATTTACTAATAATCAATCAATCAATCAATCAATCAATTAATCAATCAATCAATCAATCAACAATCAATAGATCAAGCAAGCTGGCTACTTGATTGAGCGGGTCCTCTGTTGCATACCGTAAAGGTGCAGATCAGAACAAGAACCGACCTCTCTCACATAGTACAAGATAGCGCAGCGGAAGGCTAATATACCAATGATCCGAACAATCAATGTTGCAATGCTGACCAAACATACATCATCATCATTCCATGGTGTGAAGGGGCCTGGCACTCACACAGGAAGAATGCGCCAGTCCCCAACCACACACAGATGAAGAGGAGGGGAATGTCGTCAAAACCAAGTCTTCGGTGCAGATCCCAAATAATCCCTAGTCAAATGTCTGAATCCCAATGTCGAGTCTGGATCCAAATGTCGTCAAGTCCCAAAGTCACCAATCTCTCTCCCTCTCATAGTCTGCAGATACTGAGAAGTTAGGTATCGAGAGGGTGAGGGGGAGATGGTGGACTTCGAAGAGGAAAAAACAATGGTTTACTCACTTAGCAACTCTTCTTCAACAAGGGCGCTTCGCGCCGGATAAAGCGACCAACATTGTAAGAGGCCGCTTTATCTTCAAAATAGTCCAAAAAGCTATGCAGGTCATACTGGAGATGATCTACGAAGAGAAATTTATTGATTGCAGTCATGCTTTTCAGCGTGGTAGAGGCTCCGCCGCAGCTCTGACTCTTGCGAGCCTCCATGTAGGAATAAAAAAACACCAAACGTGGGCCATCGAAGTATGTCGAAGAAGAACTCTCTCTCTCTCTCTCTCTCTCGTAGTCCGGTACTAACCTGTGAAGGTGGTGCCTTGTTGCAGGTACATCGAAGACGAGCTGGAGCTATGGCGCCACAGGTAAGTCTCCCTGGCCTCCGCCAACCATCTATCTCTCTCCAACGCTCCTCTAGCTCTCCTAATAGCGCCCAGCGCTGAAGACTACTGCTAACACTACTACTACTACTGCAGCGCTCCTCCAGAGTGCTGCTGCCGAATCCTGAAGACTGCCTCCCGCCTCCTGCACGTGAAGTGCCTGGGAAGTTCCTAGGAACTACCTCGTGACTGTCTCCTGACTGCCTGCAGCCTGCAGGGCGGGCCAGTCTTATATAGTGCTGGCCCATCCAGGAGGATGCTCTTGCCAATTGAAACAGTTTTCACCTTTGGCAGTAGCCGATGCAGATCCCAGGGGTCGATCCCTTGACCTCAGCTTACCTGTGTACAGTATCTGCACAGT